TGTGAAGGCATTAGACTTTGTAGATCATAAGAAATTATGGATAACATTGCAAAGAATGGGAATTTCAGAACACTTAATTGTACTCATGAGGAACATGAACACAAACCAAGAAACTGTCATTCAAACAGAAAAAGGGGATACTACATGGTTTAAGTCAGGAAGGGAATTCCGAGTCAGGGTTGTATCCTTTCACCATACTTATTCAATCTGTATGCTTAGCAAATAATATGAGAAGCGGGACTATAGAAGAAGAATGCAGCGTCACCACTGGAGAAAGACTCATTAACAACCTGAAATATGTAGATGACACAAACTTCCTTGCTGAAGTAAGATGACTTGAAACACTTACTGATGGATATCAAAGACTATAACCTTCAGTACGGATTAAACCTTACCTATAAGAAAACAAAATCCTCCCAACTGGACAATAAGCAACATCATGATAAATGGAAAAAAGATTGAAGTTGTCAGGGATTTCATTTTACTTGGATCCACAATCAACACCCAGGGAAGCAGTAGTGAAGAAATCAGATGTCATGTCACACTGGGCAAATCTGCTGCAAAAGACTTCCTTAAAGTGTTTAAGAGCATAGACGTTACTTTGAAGACTAAGGTGCACCTAACCCAAGTCATGGTACTTTCAATCACCTCATATGCATATGAAAGCTGAGCAATGAGTAAGGAAAACTGAAAAGTTGGTGCCTTGGAATTGTGGTATTGGGGAAAAATAATGAAAATACCATGGACTGCTCAAAGAACAGACAAATCTGTCCAGAAAGAAGTGCAGCCAGAATGGTCCTTAGAAGCAAGAATGGCCAGACTTTGTCTTACATGCTTTGGTCATGCCAGTCCCTAGAGAAGGATATCATGCTTGGTAACGTCAACAATAAAACAGCAAGAACTTCAACAAGAAGGACTGACACAGTGGTTGTAACGATGGGCTCAAGTATAGCAAGGATTGTGAGGATGGAATGGAACCAGGCACTGGTTTGTTCTGTTGTACAAGGGTTGTTATGCTTCAGAGCCAACTTGATACCACCTAACAGTAAGAGTAGGTTTCCAAGGCTGTAAATCTTTATGGAAGCAGATTGCTTTACCTTTCTCCAGTGGATTGGCTGTAAGTTCCAACTGCTGATGTCTTAATTAGCAGCCAAATGCTGTTAACCACTGTGCCACCAGAGCTCATCTTTATGTTGGTATAAACCAAAACCAAACTCACTCGCATTGAATTGATTTGACTCATAGTGACCACTCCTTGGATTTCCAAGGCAGTATCTCTATGGCAGCAAATTGCCCAATCTTCCTTCCGAGTAGTGGCTGGTGGCTTTGAACCTCCAGCCTTCTGGCTAGCAGTCAATTGTCTTAGGCACTATGCCACCAGAGCTCCTTTGTTTTGGCATACCGGTATACTGCTTCCAAAAAGAGAAAGCTTTGGCAGATGACCTAAATTCCTTTGAGCTTGGGAGATTCTGGAATGTGTGGTATTCCAAATGCTGAAAAAGAAGTTTCTAAACCGTTTTCTTTGTGAAAGTGATTTATTATATATAGTTAAATAAATACAATTAGAGACACAATATATCTTAGCTGATCCTTCTCTCTCCCCATCCTTATCACATATTTTACAAATTAGAAAACCAACACCCAGAAAAAATATTTGTGTATGTGATGGCCAGTGACAGTGCTAGAATAGTGCTAGAATAGAACCTGTGAGCACTCATGAAGTAGCTCATCTTTTCATTCTATATATTCATTCTAGAAAAGTGGACCCTGGAATACAACACAAACTTCTTATTGCAGAATATGTAGTGAGTTATGGTTGTGCAAGATCCCTGGGAGTGCCTAAGGCACTTGACTGCTAACCAGAAGGCTGGCGGTTCAAACCCACCAGCCACTCCTCGGAAGGCAGATGGCGCAATCTACTTCCGTAGTGATACTGCCTCGGAAACCCAAGGAGGGGTCGCTATGAGTCGGTCCGACTCGACGGGACATAACAACAACAACAACACTAATCTAAAGGTTAAAGTTCAAACCCAGCCAGCAGTGCAGTGGGAAAAAATGCCTTTCTGCTTCCATAAAAATTACAATCAAGAAAACCCCGTGGAGCAGTTCTATTTTGTAACCCATGGGTCTTCATGCCTTGGAACCAACCACTGCAACTGGTTTTTTAAGGGCAAGGACTCTGAAATATTCAGCGGAATTTGAATTTTTCACTTGAATTTGACTTTATAGGCAGGAAGTTATCTCTGGAGAGAGAGAGAAATATCTGAGAAGGGTTGTTACATTCTTGTTATATTTTTCTTCTAGTCTTTTTAACATCATTAACACAGTCTTAGTTTATAGCCAAGCTGAGTTTCATTTTCATCTTTGCCCTTTCTTAAGCTTCCACATATGCTGTAGTAAATACGTATGTAACTGGGGGAAGTTACATCCCGCGTATTTTTTAAAACTGTTGGAGACATCAAGAGCTGTTATTTCCTGCTGGGTAATGTCCTCCTTTTCCGTGCTTCACAAACAAAACCAGGATGTGATTGATTTGGGAGAGGGAAAAAAAAAAAAAAAACAGTAAAACTTTTATTGTCCCACCATGAAAGTGGGCTAGCGCAGCCCTAACGCTTTGGACCCAGCCCAGGCCTGTCCCGCGCAGGCGTGGCCAGGTCTCAAGCCAGGGCTGCCTGGGGCCAGCATCCTTGTTGCGAGAGCTCAAAGCGGGAAGCATCAAAGGGTCCACCCAAACTGAACCCTAAAAGAGTTCCTTGGGGCAGGCCTCCTGGGGCTGAGGAAACTTGAGGAAAAGACAAGAGGTTTTAAGATCTCACGACTCTGGGAAGGACTGGCGTGAGGAAACGTCCTAGAGGAAGCTTGAGCCCTTGGGGAGCTGGGGACCACTGCGCTGCGCGGCAGTCACGTCTGCGCTGGCTGGCCAGTGGGGGTGGGAGGCACCGCAGTTATTTCTGGAGGCGCTGTGGTTTGCAGTACTTTTCAGCAGCTCGGGTTCCCTAGTTATCCCTGGGCCCAATTCTTGGGACGAAAATGCCTGCCCTTCACATTGAAGATTTGCCAGAGAAGGAAAAACTGAAGATGGAAGTTGAACAACTTCGCAAAGAAGTAAAGTTGCAGAGACAACAGGTAAGTCGATTGTTCTAGAATTTGAAATGATCCAAGGTCAGCTTTTCCAAGAAAACAAATACGTTTTTCTTCTGCAGCTTTTCTTGAAGTGGGACCTTGGCAGTGCCTGGAAACTGCTATCTGATGTGGAGAAATTTTAGGGCGTAAAGAAGAAAGCATCAGCTAAGCAATTTAAAGCCAAATGTACTAAAATGTATGCAGCCAGAAATGCGAGAAAACATGAAAAATCAGGCCCTCTATTAAACATCTGGTTTTAAAAACGTTAGAATTTGTATTACTTATTTGTAAATCACAGCTCATTATAATTTCTGGTTTACTTATGTTTTCTAAATATGCATAATGTATTAAGACAGTGGTTTCTGTACTTATTAATAAGTAGATAATTATATGCATACTGAAGTGCATATAGAAATATTTTTTGGTGATCATTAAAAAATTTAGAGAGCTCTGATGTAGATAGATTACAAATTCATTGAGAACATATGCCCCAGTATTAGTCTCCACTGAAATTTGTCAGTTACTGTAACTTTTATTTGAGTTTTTTACTGGTTGTGAGGGTCTTCATTAAGACACTAATTGTTCAGCCTATTTTAACTCAATCAGGCAGCCTGTAGTATAAAGATAAGCTTTTGATTAGATATTTTTTAAGGAAAATTATCTACTCTTTCCTCCACAGCAAAAAAAAAAAGACTAATTTTATTTCTCTGTGTAAATTTTGGGAGCTCTGGTGGGGTAGTACCTAAGGCATTTTACTGCTAACCAGAAGGCTGGCAGTTCAAACTCACCAGCCACTCCTCGGAAGGAAGGTTGGGCAATCTACTTCCATAGTGATACTGCCTCAGAAACCCAAGGAGGGGTTGCTGTGAGTCGGATCTGACTTGACAGCAGTGAGTTTGGTTTTGGTTTGGTTTGTGTAAATTTTCTGTACCAGAAGAAATTAAAGAAAACAATGGAAATGAAGCAAAGATTGTAAATATGCCCACTTGCTTTCTTCCTGTTGTTACTATGACAAACCCCTTAATGACGAGAACCTTGGTATCAGAACTCATGTTTGGAGTGAAGATTTGAAGATGCAGGCTTTTTTGAGTTCTACTTTTTACACATGTCTTTTCTCAATTTTAAGGTGCTCTGGTGATTTAGTGCCCAAGGCATTTGACTGCTAACCAGGAGACTGACGGTTCAAGCCCAACCTCTCTGCAGAAGGGGGATGGGGCAATCTACTTCGTAAAGATTTACGGCCTTGGAAACTCAGTGAGGGTCACTATGAGTTGGAATCGACTCAGTGGCAGTGGGTTTAGTTTGGTTCTCAACTTTAACCTTAGATTTCCAAATCCCTGCACTTCGTAGATTTTGGAATGGATTGTCTTTTCTATTCTTGTTGAGGGCTTTGTAGCTTTAAAAATAACAAGGTGTTGAAAAAAACCAAAAAACCAAACCCACTGCTATCAAGTGATTTGACTCATACTGACCACCACTGGGTTTCCAAGGCTGTAAATCTTTACAGAAGTAGATTGCCTATCTTCCTCCCTCAGAGCAGTTGGTGGGTTTAAATTACAGACCTTCTGGTTAGCAGACAAATTACCTACTACACCAACCATAGCTCCCTAAGGTGTTGAAAGAGAGGGGAAAAGTTACAAGGACCCAATGGAAAACCTGTTTTTTGAAACCTTAAGGACCCATTTCATGGATAACAAAGCTCACAGTACAGCATATGTTGGCCACTTAGACATTTTCACACAATTAACATTACAGTTTACATATTAAACAGATTTGCCTATACTGAAATAAAGCATTGCCTTGTTGAAAAATTGGAATAACTTCACATTTGTTATCCCTGTGCAGAACATATAGGAGGAAAAAAAAAAAAAGAGACAAGTGTCTTCTCTTATTTTAAGTTTCAAATTAGATATTGAACAGGGGCCTGAACGTAGCTATGCGGAAATGAAACTGGTGGTGCATTAGCATGATCTTCCTGCCAGCAACCCCCACCCTTAGGACACATCCTGCTGTGCTAACTTTCCAACTCTAGAAACCCCAAGTGTATACCAGAGGAGGAGAAAACACTCAGAGATATCCTTAGGGATGGAGGGAGAGACATCTGCGTGTTAATAACAGTATTCAAACACATTTTATTATGCACTATGGATTACAGAGTATTAATGGTAGGCAAGATTTCAGTTTTAGAGATTTTTAACTTCCTAATATTAAGAGTTAAAAACAAAAAAACGACCCTGAGTCCCAGAGGCTCGCCAGCAACTCATGTAAGAGCATGGAGATAGTGATAGTCCAGGTACTGATACTCAGGTCACCTGATGCCCTGGGCAGTTATTCTGTCAATAAATTGTTAATGTCTGAGCTATGTGCTAGGAGATCTGGTAGCGTAGTGGCTAAGGCACTTGACTGCTAACCAGAAGGCTGGTAGTTCAAACCCACCAGTCACTCCTCGGAAGGAAGGTTGGGCAATCTACTTCCATAGTGATACTGCCTCGGAAACCCAAGGAGAGGTCGCTATGAGTCGGGGCCTACTCGATGGCAAGTAACAACAACAATAACAACGAGCTATGTGCTCAGAGTAAGGACCCAAATTTCACAGGCTGAATTCTGCCTCTAGCTAATTGCTGGACAAGTATATCCTCTTTATCATGAAAAGAAATGCATGAAAGGAAATGCATCTGAGGAGTAATAGTTCACTTTTGAAGGTTGAATTCTTTGAAAATCTAATGAGACCTCTCTGTGAGTCCAGACACAATTTGGGGAACATGAACCTTACACACAAAATTCCCAGGGCTGACCCCAGACCCCAGGCTATGGATGCTTACATTACCAATTCTGAGAATGTGTTTTTAAATGCACATACTACAAATGCTATCGACATTAGAGAACACACGTTGCCTAAAAATTGTACTTGAAAAGAGTTTATTTGTCGTAGTTCAAGTCTTAAAGTTACATCACTTGTTTTAAATTTTAGATCAGTGGACTCCAACTGATGTGTAAAGAACAATTGTTTGAGGTGCTAGAGTAAAATATTAAAATTTCTGTTTTCACTTAGTTTAAAAATCTCATCCTTTTATAATTTCCAGTTTATTTTTTACAATTATATGTGATGTATTATAATTATATAATGTATATGTACTTACTATTCAAAGGCAAATAATTGTATATATTTTAGGTGCATATGCAAACATATCTTAGTGATCACTACTATTAAAATAATTTTGGAGACTACTAATCCAGATAACAAATTCAATGAGAACGTATGCCCCTATTTTAAGATGTCTGCATTGAATTTTGTTGGAGTTTCTATAATTCTTCTAGTTTGTTACTTCTAATATAGATCTTTATTAAGACAGTAATCCTTTTTGTACCCTTTGTTTTTCCTCTCCCTACCCCTCCTCATTCTTGCACTCTGTCTCCTAAAGATAGAATTTTTAAGGAGTTTTGGTGGTATAGTAGTTAAGATATTTGGCTGCTGACTCAAAGGTCAGTGGTTTATACCCTTCAGTTGCTCCATGGAAGAAAAAAAAGGAAGTCTGCTTCCATAAAGATTTACAGCCTTGGAAACCCAACAGGGGTTGCTATGAATTGCAATTGACTTGATGACCATGAGTTTGGGTTTTGGTTTGTTATTCACCTATGGAACAGTAATACATGGGGTTGCCATGAGTCTTAATCAACTCAATTGACAATAAGTTTTATTTTTTTTTATTCAATCCTTTTTCCAGCATAGAAAATGGCTAATCTGATTAAATAAACACAATTGTCTTAGATAAACCTAATAATGTAAGTCTTTTTCTGTGGTTGCCTGCATGCAAAACGAAGAAACCAAACCCACTGCCATTGAGTTGAGTGCAACACATAGCAACCCTTATAGAATAGAGTCAAACTGACTCATAGGGTTTCCAAGGTTGTAAATCTTTATGGAAGCAGACTGCCTCATCTTTCTCCTGCTGAGTGGTTGGTGGGTTCGAACCACTCATCTTTTGATTAGCAGCTGAATGCTTTAACCACTATGCCACTAGAGCTCCTTTGCCTGCATGCAAGGTAGAGGAATTTGAGCACAGACACAGGGTGGGAAGTTTGGGCAGCTCAAACCTTTCCAGACTCAGGCTTTCTCTAGTCATTCCATCATTTCATGAAATTCCAAAACATGATGCACACCCATAATAACTGAGCATTTTGGCTAAACACACTTCAAAACATTTGGGAATTATCTATGACTGCACCTGCTTATTAGCATGGAAAATTGGAAGGGGATATATTTCAGTTCCTAAAATAGATAGCTCATAATTGAACTTCAGCAGAAGAAGGAAATCATATGAGGCACAATGGGTAGATTGCTGGGGATTATCTGTATAATGCCGTGACTTCAACCCTTTTTGACCTTGACCAATACTAAGAAATACATTTTACGTACATTATGCCTGATATACTCTGTGCTGTACTCTGATACTTTTATCTATTCTATGCCATTAAAAAGAAAAAAAAATTCTTCTTTCTCCCAATTACATCAGTGTCTCTAAAGGGTGGTGATAGACAGTGTGAACAACTCTCACCTAATTAATTCTCTCTCTTTTCTTTTTTTGTTCTTGCTTAAGGTATCTAAATGTTCTGAAGAAATAAAGAATTATATTGAAGAACGTTCTGGAGAGGATCCCCTGGTTAAGGGAATTCCAGAAGACAAGAATCCCTTTAAAGAGAAAGGCAGCTGCATTATTTCATAAATAACTCTGGGGAAAAATGTCATTCTCTGTGGAACAATTAGTTTTCATTTTTCTAAATGAAACCAACATGCCTTTTAAGGAAGGAAGAAATGAAATTTAAATTGAGATTTTCTTAAGCACTTGATAGATATGATTATGTATAAAGCCTCTGTGCTTCTCGTCTTTGCTCACTACACATCCTTTTTTTGAGAGTGCAGAGAGTATCAAATGTACAATTATGGAAGTAAGGCCATTACTTGTGCATGACTCACCTCTTCCAGTATATTGCTTGCTGCCACAAATAAAGTTTTATCTCTGGAAAATGAGTGTTGGTGATTTACGAAGGCATTTTTTGTACATTAATTTTTATATTTTTTCCAGTCACCTTTTGGATGTTTGGGACATGTATCAAAAGATTAGATGGCTTGTTAGATCAAGTCTCAAATCCAGCTTTCTTTGCTTCAAGTCTCACCAGGTTTACAATGCCAAGTTCTGACTTCTGGAATGTGTTTGATCTAATTTGACCATTAGAACTGAGTAAAATCAGGAGTGAGTGGAATTCCTAAGAATAACGTTGACAGGAATGAAATTACCTGAGTCAGAAGCCACGCCAAGCCAAGTCTGTATTGCACTGCTGTGGTTTACCATCATTTAGTGCCTTGTTCAAAGTAGTTAGTAGTAACTTGCTGCAGTAGTTAGTAGCCTTTGGGAAAAGGGCCAGCTAAGCCAGTGGGAGTCAGGAAGAACTACCTACCTTCAGTGCAGTGCCCCAGCCAGTCCTGGCTTTGGAGGCTGGTACATTAGCTGGCAGGGGGCAGCTTGTGGTGTACTCCAGTGTTGCTGTGCTAGAGCAGGCATTTGACTTTCTGCAATTCTTTCGCCAATCTCTTCCCACAGGCCCAAGGCAAGACAAAGGACCAGGAAGACAACAGGGAACCACAGTTCTGGTGATACTAGTCCGAGGGCACCACACGCTGGAGCACATGGCTTACTCAAATCTCTTAACAAATACCTTCAGCTGCAGCTTTAAAGAAAAAGACTTTTCAATGAACATTTAACTCTCTCTGGTTCTGTCTTTTGGATGTACATTATTAAATCTGTATGGTACTTGAATTATTTCACAGTATTAGGAGGCTTAAATTAGAGAGGAATATATTAGTTTAGGTTATAGATAGATAGATAGATAGAAATATAGAGGAGCTCTGGTGGTGTAGTGCCTAAGGCATTTGATTGGTGACCAGAAAGCTGGAGATTCAAACCCACCAGCCGCTCCTCAGAAGGAAGGTTGGGCAATCTACTTCCTTAGTGATACCGCTTCAGAAACCCAAGAAGGGGTCACTATGAGTCCGATCCAACTCGATGTCAGTGCTTTGCGTTGCGTTATATAGATATAGATTCCATAGGGTTTTCTACATAGACATCTGCAAATAGAGACAATTTTATTTTTTCCTTTCCAATATATATACTTTTTTCTTTTTTATCTATGGCAATGGCTAGAACTTCTAGAACTATATTGAAATCAGTGGCAAGAGCAAGAATCTTTTTCTTGGTCCCATCTTAGAAAGAAACCACTCAGTATTTCATAATTGATTATGATGTTAGTTGTACTTTTCTGGGCTTTATTTCCAATGACAGGTTGACTTTAAGAGCCCTTGTAATTCTGTTCAGACCTGCTTTGTTCTACAGATGTTGTTGAGGATCCCACTCAATCTTGCTGGTGCCACCTGTAGACATGGAAGGAATGTAGTAACAAAAAAGTCTAGAACAGGCAAGGGTTGGCAAACTACAGCCTGGGGGCCAACTTCCAACCACCACCTTTTTTTTGTAAATAAAGTTTTATTGGAACAGAGCCACAGCCATTAATGTACATGTCCATGGCTACTTTTACACTATAACAAAAGAGTACTTGTGACAGAGATCACATTGCCTAACAGGGACTCTTCATTTCTTCAGGGAAATAAAATCCAGAAGAACAAGGATTCATTAAAGTTATCTATAAATGGGCTTAGTATAGCTATCAAATGACTGAAAATGAATATTTTATTATTTTACACAAGGAGGCAAAACAGTATTATTTTACACCATGAGTCTTATATTGTGCTATAACATAAATCTTTATTTTCAAGCAAAAAACACATTCCATTCTCAGGAGCTCTGGTGGTACAGTGGTTAAGGCATTCTGGTGCTGACCAAAAGGCTAGTAGTCAGAACCCACCAGCCACTCTACAGAAGAAAAATGAGACAGTCTGTTCCCCTAAAGACTTACAGTGTTGGAAACTCTACAGGGGCAGTTCTTCTCTGTCTTACAGAGTCGCTATGAGTCGGAATCAACTCGATGGCAGTAGGTGAGTATTCTTAGTAATTCCATGTGACATCAGGTTATATTTTAAGACTTTTTGTCACTTATTGACACATTAAATGTACTATGCTCTCTTTCAACACGTAAATGCACAAGCCCTCTCACACACTCATTGTATTTTGAGCTGATTCTTGCTTACATACATTGTTTTGCTATGAAAGCAACCTTTAATACTTGGAATTTTCATCTTTGAGTGGAGAGTAACTTAGACATTTAAATACTATTCATTTCAATTGGATGCACTAAATGGATTAATGACCTATAAACATGACATTTAATAGACAAGTTCAGCCAATATGTTTCCTGTATTATAGGAATTAGCAGTCAAAGAAAACAATGACATTTATCAAATCCAATTAATTATATCAATGGTATATACAAAGTGTAAGTGGATTAAGAGCTTGAGAAAAAAGAGGGGTGAAAAATGATTAGACTAAGACTGGGGCATTTTCTTCCATTTAATGGAAGTTGTTAAGATAATAGTTTAAGTAAAGAAGAAAAGTTTATAAAGTAGTAAACAAAGATTTCACCTACTGAGTTCAGCTTCGCAGATGAAGAGGCTGTTTATCAAATTTATATGTGTGTAAAGAAAGTGTTACTGAATTGAGTACACTGTTTTTAGTAAAAAGCCTTTGAAATGTTGATTGTATCAGCTTTTGCAGGTGACAAACTACCCACACTCAATAACTTTAAATAATAATTATTTATTATGCAAAGTGCCTAAGGCATTTGACTGATAACCAGAAGGCTGGCATTTCAAATCCACCAGCCAGCCACTCCTCGGAAGAAAGATTGGGCAATCTACTTCCACAGAATTACGGCCTTGGAAACCCAAGAAGGGGACGCTATGAGTCAAGACCGACTTCATGGCAGTGAGTTTGGTTTTTGGATGAGCCTACCAATCAGCTTATCTGGGAGGGACTATGTTGATCTTGGCTGGGCTCATTTATTCATTGGCAATCAGCAGGTAGATCAGCTCGGGGGTGGGTGGTTAGCTGGGTGTTGACAGGTCAATGGCTGGGGCAAGACAGATGATTGAGTTATGTGTCTTTTTTCTTTCAACACACTTGCCTATGTTTATTCTTTTGGCATGGCAGGGTTCCAAGAAAAAGAGAGTAGAAGTGTAAAATTTCACTTAAGACATAGGGAAAGAACTAACATATCATCACTTCCATTGTATTCATTGCACAAAAAATGACACAAGGCCAAACCAGATCCAAGGGGAAGGAAAATAGACATCTCCCTTGATATAAGCTGAAAAGTCACATATCAAAAGATATGGATACAATGAAGGGTGGAAAATAGACATTTTGGGCTATGAAAGCCATTAGGAACAATCTAAGGCTGTGTGGGGAAAGAACCTTCATTAAGATAAGCAAACCAGAAAGATCTGATGCTAAAGGAAAGAAGTGGGAACAGTCAGGGAACACACTAAGACAATAACTCAAAAAGATGGTAAAGGTAGATTAGGAAGCTGTTGTGAGAGGAGGAGCATAAAGATGTGTCTGACAGAGTTTCAATAACTTCACAAACCCTCAGAGCTGTCTAATTGCACCTAAGAGGAAATGAGCAACCTCTTAAAGACTAGTTTGGCTAATGCTATTTATAGACACACCAATTTCTGGAAAGCAGAAGAGTACAGGCTCTGATGATGTGCCTTTCATGTCTTATGTTATAGAGTAGAAGGGACCATTACAACTTGATCTCTTTATGTAGAGGGACTCCATTTTCAATGAAGCTAAAGTCAGTGGAGTTACAAGATTTTATTTCTGTTCCTAACACTGGTCAGTTAGCCTGGTGAGTGTAAAAGCTGTAGTAAGCCAATCCTACCAATATATAAGGAACTGATAATGGATTCTCTGCTTTCAAATTGTCCTGTAGCTCACCCTCTGGGACAACTTCCATTTTTCCTAATATCCATTCTCAGATGGCAGAGAAGGTAGAGAATTTGGGCTTATTAATTAATCCACTCTCCACCTGCAAATTTACTCTTATTTTAATTCTTCTGACTCTTCTGTCTTGGTTTGGACTTGAGAGGGACTCTGTTTGATGTTACTTACAGTATGTGTGTGTGCTGGAAATTTTCTATTTTCCTGGTACAATATATTCCTCCTATAAAGGTATGAAGTATGAAGTATGAGTCTAGGAAAATTGGAAGTTGTCAAAAATGAAATGGAACTCATAAAGATTGATATCCTTGGCATTAGTGAGCTGAAATGGACTGGTTTTGGCCATTTTGAATCAGACAACCATGTGATCTACTATGCCGGGAATGACAGTTTGAAGAGGAATGGCGTGGCATTCTTCATCACAAAGGATGTTTCAAGATCTGTCCTGAAGTACAATGCTGTCAGTGATAGGACAATATCCATACACCTACAAGGGACACCTGTTAATATGACTATTATTCAAATTTATGCACCAACCACCAAAGCCAAAGATGAGGAGATTGAACAATTTTATCAACTTCTGCAGTCTGAAATTGACCAAACATGCAATCAGGATGTGTTAATTATCACTGGTGACTGGAATGCAAAAGTTGGAAACA